ACAAAGCAAAGGAGTAGAACATCATTGACCTGTTGACCCGTCATTTTCTAGTTGACTTGACTTGGTCTTGTTGACCTAAAGTGGGATCCACGTACTCATCTACTGATAACTCACAAACCAGTCACATCAATTCAAAAAAAAAATTCTCTTCCCAATTCGTGAATGATGATTCAAAGGGTCCCAGTTTTCCCAAGTCTACGCACAAAATTTTAGGAAATATTATCAAAGCCGCGTAACGGTACAAAAAAAGTCTGTCTAATCTATTGACATTCATATGCATTCTGAAAATTTGTTTGTTTTTCAAAGTGAACATCATGTCTCATTTTTTCTTTGTGAAGTGAGGTGAAAATCTTCTGTAGAACTGCAGAAAATATTATACTAATGCTGAAGTACATAAGATTAGCCATATCAATTTGCAGCAAACAAGATTCAGACATAAAAAAGAAGCTAAAAATTGAAAATTCCAATTTCAAACAGAATTTGAAACTGACCTTGCTCAATGAAGACCGAAAGCCCGAAATCAATTGCCTTTAATGGAGAATCTTCCTCATTACTAACGAGCAAGAAATTCTCAGGTTTGAGGTCTCTATGAATCACACCCATGAAATGGCAAACATGAACCACATTCACAATCTGCCTTCCAATTTTTGCAGCCTCTTTTTCAGAATAATTCGCGCTTCTGGCAGTAATCCTATCGAAAAGTTCACCTCCTCCGCAAAATTCCATAACCAAATGCACATTTGATTGGTCCTCGTAGGCACCCTTGAACTCAACAATATTGGGCTGTCCAGTCAAATGCTCCAGAATCATAATCTCCCTTCTCACGTCTTCTATATCTTTTTTAGTCACTAGTTTTCTTAGGGAAATGGATTTGCATGCATATTTATATCCAGTTACCTTATCGGTGCAAAGATAGGTGATTCCAAATTGCCCTCTTCCAAGCTCTTTGTGAAGATCATAGAATGTCTTAATATCAACGTAAGGCTTGCCTAAAACTAGGCCAATTTTGGAGGATGAAGATGGTGCAGGAGTGGTGGTGATTCCTGGCAAAAGTTTTGGAGGGGGAGCTGGTTTTGGCGGCGGAGGAGGTCGTGCAGGTCGTGGTGGCGGTGGTGGTGCATGGTGGCGTCGAATGGAACTATGCCGAGGACGAATAGGAGAGTCTGAGGAAGATGATGATATTGGGATTTCTCTAAATTTTGAGAAACAGAATCCCATTTAGAGAGCTGTGTGTGTGTGTGAGAGAGAGAGAGAGA